ACAACACCATATTCTTTGAAGGAGGCCAGGAGATGACCAGATCTGAGTAGATATTAGCAAAGGTGTGGAATAGCTCTTCAGGATTTCAGAGAATTTTTTTTTTAAGATTTTACTTATTTATTTGACACAGAGAGAGAGAAAGAAAGAGAGAGAGAGAGCACAAGCAAGGGGAGCGGCAGACAGAGGGAGAGGGAGAAACAGACGCCACACTGAGCGAGGAACCTGATGCAGGACCCGATCCCAGGATCCTGGGATCATGACCTGAGCTGAAGGCGGCTGCCTAACTGACTGAGCCCCCCAGGCGCCCCAGAGAATAGGTTTTTTAAAAAGCAGGAAGTGGGACTGATGAGTCATGTTCTATAGTTCAGCTGATATTAGAGCTCATGAATTTTCATTGATTCCACGTTTTCAAAGATAGGCAGTTTTAATCCAGAAGCTTTAGTATAGAGGATGGTTGTATAATTAATGGGCTCATGGCTGGGGTTTCTTAGGGCTCATACACAAGTGAGATACAGAGTTGAGAGCTCTGAGACTGAAAGTAGTTCTGAGAGCGGCTCCTAGTACTGAAAGCCGAGCTGTGAGTAAGGGTAGTTCAAGCTCCGATCCTGGTACCCAGCCCAAATATGCTGGAGGACAGGAGACTCATCACCTAGGGAAAGTGGAGGGATCAAGAGGTGAGAGACCTGGATGAAGCCAAGAAGCAGGTGTTATGGAACAAGTATATAAGAAACCTAGAAGGCTAGGCAGCTCCGCTCAGAAGTAGGATCTTAAAGATGGGGAAGTTTCTGGTGATGGAAAGATCTAAAGGGTGGCCATCGAAGAGGTTGTATGTATGAAGTAGAGATGAAAATGATAGGATTTGAGAAAGTCAAAGAAATGTGAGCCTAATGGGTAGAATGAGTTTTCCACTTGTGTCTTACAGTTACTTAAGAATAATGGCAGGAACTGGGACAGAGCAGAAAGCTCTCACGCAGGTGGCAATTTTCTCAATGAAAATGGACAAGTAACATGGATATGTCTGCAATAGGTAGCAGGAATAGGATTCATAAAGGGTGGGTATTCACACGTAATGATTCTGTCTAGGAGAGATTTTGCAAGTTGGAGAAGAGTAAGATGCTGAAATGGAAAGTTAAGGTATAGGTTTAGGGAGAAAGAGTAATCCTCTTGACCAAACAGTATGGTGGATATCCTATTGGTCAGTAGCTATAGGAGAGGTATTGGAGCAACTATCCTAGAACCAGTAGAGAAAAACCGATCTCGGGTGAGAGCCATGTTTAATATAAAGCAAAACATAGAGGGAAGTTTTCATGAAGACTTAAAAAAATCGAGCAGGGTTTGTTTACAACAGAACAGGGGGTGAGAGCAGATGCCAGTAAGCTACAGGAAGCAGGGAGCATGGAATAGTAAGCAATTTGCTACCTTCTTCAAAATTTTTCTAAGCTCTGATTATCAGACCTATGTTGTTGCCAAGCAACAGATAAATTTTCCTTTAACACTTTGACATTGTCCCATCTTCCCTTCTGGCAACCAAAAAATAAAGGGCTAGGACAGTGTAACCCAGCTGGGGAAGGACTTGGCCTGCTGAGGAGAGAGTGGATTTACAGTAAAGGAGCAGCAGGGCCATCAACATGTGCCAGCAGGAGCAAGGACAGTACTTTTGGGGACTGTATTCTGAGGCTGCTGAACAAGAGGCAAATGGAAAATGAATTTGGATAAGGGAGGGTTTATTAATTTGGGAGCACTCATCAGGAAGAGAAGAATGAATGCCCTGGGAAGGATCCTGGAAAACATGACTATTGTACTTCCATGATGGCTCTTAGAAGCTTGAAGAAAGTGGTGGCCGACACTGAGAGAAGTAGAAGGAGAATTGTCATGCCAGAGGGTGGAAGCAGGGGAGCAAAATGCTCAGGCAAGTGGGCATGCTAGAGTGGCTATCCCCTGTAAAGCTGGAAATTCCACCAGATGACAAAGTTCTGATTCAGATGCTCCATTTGTCAAAGTGACTAGGAATTTTCTGGTGAGAGGGGTACCCCATCACTGAGAAGCTCAATGGTGGCTCTCCTCTGCGGGTCATGGCTGATGATAAAAGATGCTATCACCAAACTAGGTTCAAAGATAGCAACAAGGATAATAGAATCCTGAAACAATAGAGGCCAGGTGGCAGCACTTAACCATCAGAAGGGTGCAACTGTGGCAGAATTGGAGTGGCACTCAGCGGTCTTGACCTAGAGAGAGCTGTAAAGATGATTAATACAATATGGCACCCCTGGGGGAAAAGACAGAAGCTAGCCAACAAGAGCGTGCTCAATGAAAAAAAAAATCAAGGATGAATGAACACAAGGTTGAGAGCAGGAGCCTCAATAAAAAGTTTCAGTCTCTTCCCCGGGTTCCTGACTTAAGCCAGTTCATCAATCCAGAGCCCAGTGGCTGAAGGAGAGGCAGGAATGCAAGGAGGGAGGACCCCGAAACACGGTAGTGAGAATGTATGGTAATGACTTCTCCCACCCCCACCTCACCCCCAATTCTTCCCCAAAGACACCTATGGCCATCCCCTTGGAAAACCATACACTGAAGAAAAGAGAATGCCTAAACATTTTGAAGATTGCTGGACACAATCATTATTGACACCTAGGGACTCTGAGTATTCTTATGGTCCCCAATTAGAGTAGAGGTCTAAAGGAGCCAAATAATGAATGAATGGAGTTTTTGCCCAGATCTGGCATACAGTGGGTCCATTAAGCACATGGGCCTATGTGGTGATCATTTCCCCAGTCCTAAATGCATCATTGGAACAGACATACTTGATAGGTAGTATAACACCCACATCAGTTCCTTGGCCTATGGGATAAGAGTTGTCAAAGTGGGAAAGGGGAGCCTCTGAAATTACACAGTCAATATATTAAATAAAAAACAATATAGGAGAATGGTAGATATTAATGCCACTTTTGGTTCTCATCGTATCTCCATTTAATTCACCATACACGTCCCTCCAAAGACCCAACAGTTCCTGGAGAATAAACAATAGACTACTGCAATTCAACCAAGTAATAACCCCAATTAGAGGGACTGTACCACATGTGGTATCTTTACAAGAGCAGAGCCAGATGACCTCAGGTAACTGGTAGCTTGAGGTGATCAATATGATGATTGTGTTCTTTCCCAACCTTATTAGAAAGTAGAATTAGAAAGTATTTGCTTTCAATTAGAATGAATAATAGAAAAATATTTATAGTGTACCCCTAGGGCTACGTTGTCTCTTCCACCCTCTGTCATTATATAGTCTTAAGAGATTTGAAATGTTTGGACATCTCACAGAACACAACACTGGTCTGCTACATTGATGGCATTATCCTAATCAGGTTAGATTAACAAAGATTGGAGGACTTGGTGAAGCATGTATACTCCAGAAGAATAAGAAGAAAATCCCTACAAATGGTTGGGGATCCAGCAAATCAGTGAAATTTAAGAATTATGGGGTCCAGAGCATATTTTTTGTGTCCTATTTAAGAAAAATTTGCCTATTTCTCAGTCATGTTTTCTTATAGAATATTTATTATTTTACTTTCATATTTAGATTTATGATCCATCTGGAATTTATGTTTTGTATGTGTGTGAGGTAGGTGGGCAGCCTTTATTTCTTCTGTTAATCCATATCCCCAGGATCATACATTGAACCCTTCCCTCCAAAAAAACAACTTTCCTACATTGTTCTGTAGGAAAAAAAAATCAAATTACCTTACATGTGTGGATCTTTTTTAGTCTCTCTTGACCATTTGCCTATTTTCTATCCTTGTGCCAAAAGACACTGATTTAATAACCTTAGCCTTAGAATAGATCTTAATACCTGGTAGTTTAAGTACTCCAGCTTTGGTTTTTGAAATTACCTTGGCTATTCTCAGCCCTTGAATTTTCATATATATTTTAGAATCTGCTTATCAATTTCCATTCAAAAAATCTTCTGGGACATTATTGAAATTGCATTGAATTTATAGATCAGTTTTGGGAGAAATGACATCTTAACGATCTACAAACATGGTATAACTGCATTTATTTAGGATTTATTTTAATTTCTGCCAATGTTTTGTAGTCAGTAATGCTTTGTATCACATCTTTTGATAGATTTATTTCTAGGTTTATTTCTTTTTGAGGACTTCGGATGATTCCATTTGCTAATTTCGTTTTTAGGACTTTTGCATCTATGTTTATAACAGATTGTTAAAACTGCTTCAACACTTTTCTTCTCGTTACAAATGCTTTAGAAAACCAGAAGTTATACAATCACAAGCATTCTCTAGGGTGTTTACTTTGTGATGTACAGGATGTAGAATGGGTGGTGAAGGATTAGGGGTCTCCTGGAGTATTAAGAGAAGAGCTTGGACCAGTTTGGTACAAGTAGAAATGAAAAGGAAGGATAGACTCCCCAGTGTTTAGCTCCAGATTAGATGGAGGGGTAACATTATGAAATAGAGAAGTTGGGAGAAGTTGATTTCGGCTTGGAGAAGAGCAAAAATAATAAGCTGACTTGGGGTAAAATCTTTATCTTCATCATAACTGTCACCATCATTAGGGTGCATACAAAGGAGTAACAGCAATTTTTTAGAAATCACAAATGCATGAAATTACATAACTGGCTAGCATGTTAATGTCTTTAATTAGAAAATTTCCTTACGTTGCTTTGTAGCTAGTTTTACAAATTATTTCCATTCACAATCAGAAAACGTAATTCATCGTATATTCGTTGACACCTTCCAAGGGATCCGTACTTCATACATAATACAACTCATTTCTATACAGACTGCGCTTTTCCTTTCCTTAACCACCAGGTGGCGACCAGGAGCCCACGTCTCACTCCTGCTCCTCCCTCCTCTTCCCAGGCGGCCCAACTCCCGGGAGCGCGCACGTTCCGGAGCCCACGCCGATTGCGGGAGCTGCGGCCGCGCACGTCGGTCAGCTGCGGCTACGCCTTCGCGAGTGGGCCGAGACTCAGAGGACCGAGACCCATGTGGAAGCTGCTCCCCGCCGCGGGCCCGGCCCGAGGTAAGGGCGGAAGGGAGATGCCCCGGGACTGTTTTCCCGGGAGCAATTGCCTTGGGCAGAGGGTCTGAGGAGGGATGTTTTCGGTCCGTTCCTGTTCTCTCCGCCTTCCGGCGCCGCCTTAGTCCCCGCCCCGGGAGGCTGCGGAAACGGGATACGCGAACCGTAGGACTGCGTGTGGGGACCGCGTTGTCTTCCCGGGCGCGGGGCGGATCAGTGGCGGCGGCGTCCGTCACGCGACCTGCCGCCAGGTTCTCGGTGGTTGGGACCAGCGCCTCCGGCAAGACCAACGCTGACGCGGCTTACAGGCCCCGCCGAGTTGAGTCTTGGCGGGCCACCTGTTGTGGCCTCTAGTGTTCGAGCTTTTGGCCAAACACCTAGAATAAGTTATCACAGGCTAGACGCACTATGGCAACAGATGACTTTGTTTGGAGCACATTGTTTGATTTTGTGAAAAAACACAGAGATGAGTTGGGTAAATGGCAGCCACAGGGAAGGCATAATTTCGGTTTTGTTTTAGAGCCCTTTTTTTTTTTTTGCCATCAGAACTGAGAAAGTGGGGTTTTTGGTTTTTTGTTGTTTTCTGTTCTGCACTTGCATCAATGGCAGATGGTTATCTCCTGTTAATTGCCTAGTCAAAGTCCTTATTAGTGGATAAGCAGGTGTAGCCTATGATTAGGTCTTGCCCCCAGGGAGTTTATTCTGATCGGCCAAAGATCTACCTCGAAGCCAAATTTACGAACAGTGTATGAAGAGGACCAAACAAATGGTTAGGAAAATAAAGAGTAAAAAGACTCTTAAGATCCAGGCATTCCTGTGGACTTGGAGCAGTGCGGAGGTAGAACATAAGCTGTTGATGGGAAGCAGGATTCAGTTCCTTTCCAGGAACAGTTGTGGTCTGTGGCTGGCGCTCAGTTCCTGTAGAGGCAGATTACAGTGGGAAAATGCTTTTATCATCAGCGGCCAGCATTCTTAACTTCTAGGAGATTGTGACCTCTTTTCAGAATCTAACGGACACTATGGGCCCATTCCTCTAGAAGAAAAATGTAAGTAAACCAAGGTACAATTTTTTTTCCTTGAAACACCCCACTCTAGGCTGAGTTTCTGAATAACAAAATATGATCCAAACATGACTTGCCTTTCTGCTTGTCTAGTTTATATGCCCTAATTACCCTACTACTCCAGTGATGGACTCATGGGCTCCCATACTAAGCTCCACTAATCTCCAACAAATATGCTGTTACACAACAATTTGTGATTTTCAACATTTTTTTTTAGAAACGAAACTTTCTCACTTACTTGAGATGCTACCTTTAACATAAAAACGAAATTCCCCAAAATATACATTTAAATCAGGTCTGAACTTTGCTTGCATTGACCTATGTTGTTTACTCCAAATTCAGTACCATATATTTTAATTACTATAGCTTTATGGCATAGTTTACCATCTTGTAGGGGAAGTTCCTGTAAATTTCAGATTTTTCTTTACAGTTTCTTTACATTCTATTTTCCCAGTGGATTTTTGAATCTTATTTATTGGGTTCCAAACATAGTATTGTGATTTGTTTGGTAATGTATAAAATGTATAAGTTAATTTGGGCAAGCATTGACACTTCTTTTTTTTTTAATTTATTTGTTTGCAAGAGGGCGAGCGCGTGCGAGTGAGCACGCAAATGTGTGAGCCAGTGGACACGTGCATGGGAGGCAGAGGGAGAGATATGAACCCCAAGCCGACTCTCCACTGAGCACTGAGCCCAACATGGGGCTCAGTCTCATGACCTGGAGATCATGACCTGAGCCAAAACCAAAAGTCAGACGCTTAACAGACTGAGCCAATCACCTTTGACACTTCAGTATTGTTTTCACTTTAGAAAATGCTAGAGCTTTCCATCTGTTTAATCTTTTGCAGGGCGCCTGGGTGACTCAGTCGTTAAGCGTCTGCCTTCGGCTCAGGTCATGATCCCAGGGTCCTGGGATTGAGCCCCGCATCGGGCTCCCCGCTCCGTGGGAAGCCCGTTCTCCCTCTCCCCCTGCTTGTGTTCCCTTTCTTGTTGTGTCTCTGTCAAAAAATAAAAAAAATCCTTAAAAAAATAAAATAATCTTTTGCATCTTTCAGTGAGGTTTTACTAGAAATCACAAGTTTGATTTATATGAAGTTGATTATTAACATTTAAAAGCAAAATAAAAATATTTTCCTTATGTATTTGCTGTACCTATGTATACATAATCGTGTGTGTCTACGTTTACTTTTTTCTTTTTTTTAATTCTTAGAACCATTCAGACTTTTGACTGGTGTCGAATACGTTGTTGGACGGAAAAACTGTGGCATTCTAATTGAAGGTGATCAGTCAATCAGTCGAAATCATGCTGTGTTAACTGCTAACTTTTCTGTAACCAACCTGGTATGTTACTAATTTTATTTCACTAGCTTAAAGTAAGGGGGTTGAAATTACAAGATTACTTTGGTGTGCATGTAAGAGAGAGTTTGTAGGATTTTTAATTCCATAAGGGTGTTAGTTTTTTTTAATGTTAAAATTAAATAATTGTGGTAGTAGTGACAGCGGTGTTTGTTTTGGTATTTGAAGTTTCTGTTCCAGTGTTTGTTGTAGTGATTTAGAAACTCAAAGTAGAACACATTTATACTTACTTAATAAACATTAAGTGCTTACAGTGTCTATCGTTGTGCCAAACCTGGTAATAGAGCAGTGAACATACTGTCACACTCCTGCTCATAAGAGTTTATATAGCCACGTGAACACAGGCATTTCCCATATAATGTAGGTTTTCACAGGGGCAATTGGTTTATTAGGAAAAACAGCTGTTGCTTATGTCTCACAGTTCTTTGATGGCTTTGAGTTTGTTTTGGTTGATTGGTTTTAATCACAACTGGGTAGTAAAAAATATATATATAAATGGCTGTGTTCATGATAATACTGGTGATAATAAAAGCCATTATTTTGAGCAAAGACTACATACCAACAAATGCTGGATCTTTCAGTAATATTTAACTTTTGTGCCTGTATTCTTTTAGGTATAAAAGAAGATTATTATTGAAATTCCTAAAGGAAAAATAAAATTGTTGCTTTAAGTCAGACACTCTAACCTTTTCTCATTGGACATTTTTTTTACTGTGTTATTTTGATAATGTAAAAAAAAAACAGGGACAAAGCTGTCATGGATAAAACAGACTACACAAAAGCACAGAAATTCTCGAATGAAATTGAGGGGTCAGAAAAATCTGCACTGACTTATAAAAATAAAGAAAATGCATGTTCTAAGAGGAGTGATCCTGGAATTCATTCATTTGCTATTAATTTCTAGTTGAGTGATCATTCTGTGCCCACAACCGAAACAGTGACTATTGCCTTCTATGTTGGGAGGTTAGCCATCCAGTTACCTATTCAAAAAGTTTTCAGCTTTTTGTTTTGAAACCTTTTCCCCCGGGAATTGTATTTACTGATTGGTAAAAGACTTTAACTGTATTGATTTTTGTTCGTTGGTTTCAGAGTCAAACAGATGAGACTCCTATATTGACAATAAAAGATAATTCTAAGTATGGTACCTTTGTTAATGAGGAAAAAATGCAGAATGGCCTTTCCCAAGCTTTGAAGACAGGGGATAGAGTTACTTTTGGAGTGTTTGAAAGTAAATTCAGGTAAGAATTTTTTTAATTGATATTAAAAATGGATGGTTTTGTTTTGCACTGATCAAATTTTAAAGGGTATGATATTTATGGATAATGAATTTAAAAACATTTAATTTAGTTCCTGCTTAGCACATTAGTGCCCTTTGCATCGCATGTGGTTAGTGCATTTTGTCAATCACAGATAGTGCCAAGAGTGAATAAGAGTTCAAATGGTCTCTGAGAACTTTGATGGGAGCTACATTTGTTTGATTACTTTTGATTTCACATAAGTGAAAGTATAATATTAACTTTGATCATTGTTTTTTCTTAAGTGCAACTCAAGACTTAGGAAGTGATAATTTCATAAATTAGAAAGTTTAATAATACATAAAAATAGCATGTGATGTGAGCTTAAAGTACTGTAAGTTGCCATCTTTGGAGCTATGATAATATAACTTTATGTAACTTATTCTCATTTACAGAGTAGAATATGAGCCTTTGGTTGCATGCTCTTCTTGTTTAGATGTTTCTGGGAAAACTGCTTTAAATCAAGCTATATTGCAACTTGGAGGACTTACTGTGAACAATTGGACAGAAGAATGTACTCATCTTGTCATGATAACAGTCAAAGTTACCATTAAAGTAGGTTGAATGCCATGTTATTATGTTAAAATAAGTTCTGTATATTTAAGCTACTCACCAACTGTACACGAAACATTTTTAAAGGCATTAACTTTAAAACTATCAGAACTGTTAGTTGTGACTTTATATATGTCAACCCATGCCTTCGTGTGCCGTTTAGGCTCGAATGATGTTTCAGGTAACCTGTTTATCATTTGAGACAAGGAAAAGCATATAAAATTATATTTGATTTTGATTTAACATTTTAAAAATGATACATATTATATTTTCACCAATAAGTTTATTACAGCGTGTAGTTGGTATCTAAAGGCAAACTGGCTGAAGTCCACTGCCAGTCTCCAAAGTTAGCATCTCTATTCCCTTCTCTCAAGTTGTCTTCCTCCAGCTCATCTCATGGTCTCATCCTCTCTTACTCAGTTTCTATTTCGTATAATGCTCTTAAAAGACTTTCTAAATTCTTTAAGATTTTATTTATTTATTTGACAGAGACACAGTGAGAGAGGGAACACAAGCAGGGGGAGTGGGAGAGGGAGAAGCAGGCTTCCCGCTGAGCAGGGAGCCTGATGCGGGGCTCGATCCCAGGACCCTGAGATCATGACCTGAGCTGAAGGCAGATGCTTAACGACTGAGCCACCCAGGCGCCCCGACTTTTTAAGTTCGTATAGTTTAATATTACCTTAATGTATCTTCACCATCTAGAGATATGTAGATATGTACCATTAGAAGATGCCAACTCTTCATTAAAACAGTGATATATTTTGGTATGTTTTCAGATTTTGCATCTTCATCAGATTTGGTTATATCCAAAGCTAATTGAAGAATGACACTGGGAAGTGATTCGTCTCTTTTTAAACAGGTTGATTATAGATATGTGAGATTGTTTTAGGTTAACATCTGTAGTAAAAAGAAACAAATATTTAGATTCCTTTATTAGATGGTACAAAAATCCTTTAATATCTAATATAATTAGAATATGTATATTACAGCTAAACAGATGTCACAGAGAAAGGCTTGCTGCTCAGGTTGAACCTCAGGTTAAACTTGTATGTTGGTGGGGTTATCTCTGATGAAGGATCGTTCTAGCTTTGCAAGTTTATGAAGTTTATAAATTCAGCAGAGTAATTGGCCTCCTGAGTACTAATTTATGCTAATAAATTAAAATGTCCATTTATTAGTTTATAGTAGGTATGGAACTTTATAATGACCACATATTTATGTTTGCACTCCAACACAATCCCCTTAAAGATACTAAGGTACCTGAGAAGTGAGATTTAGGTCATTAGGGGCTCCCTTGGTGGATATGAAATAAGAGCAAGGGCAGTTAGATGGTCTTGAGAGAGATTTTACGGAGTCTCTGACAGACTTGGAACTAGCGTCCATTCACCAGAGTACACGCTGTTCCAGTGACTGAGATACTAATGGCACTGGATATTAGAGTGTCACTGTATATATACCAGCAATGACTTGCAGAGCAATCCTTTTTCAGTACTTTTGATCAGTCATGTGCCAAAAAAGAAAACCTAGTTATTTTTTGAGTAAATTTTCCAAAAGTACAGGTTACCTTATATTTTTAAAATTGTTAAATGTTAGAACCAAAAGGAATCTTAAGGAACATTTTGGTTCAATTTTTATTTTCTGAAGAGGAAACTGAGGTATGGAGCACTTAAATCCTTTGCCCAGGATCACATGTATTGGAGTTTGCTTCCTGCCAGGGGCCAATTATTTCACTCACATTCGAGGTTGTTGTATTCAGATTCCAGTTTTGAGAGGCACCATACATTGCTTGCTCATATTTAAGTAATACCCCATGTTATTAGAAGCATACTTAGAAATTCTTCAGTGGGATTATTTCCTAAGATTATGCTGAATCTTTATTTTCGTCTCCAGTGGTGGTATTTTCTAATCTTTTTCAGATTTTGTGGTACATTTTATTTGATGTTTATAGCTTAGGTCAGTTGCTAGTTGAAGTTTCTCCACCCTTACCCCCGATCTCTGTGTACTTATTTTGAGCTTTTACCCCACTCCAAACAGTTATTCCTTTATTTACTTTCTTGAAAATACTTTATTCCATAGTTACAATCTGTTCAAAAGGTATTTAGGCAGAAAAGATCTTATTATAGCTCATGTTTATCTCTTGATACTGTCTTCTCTAGGGTAGTTGTTACATTTACTTAATTCTGCGATCTACTTTTTAACATTTTAAGAACTTTTAAATTGGAATATACTTTAAAATTGACTTATTTTATGTTACATTGTTCTGCCCTCCCCAAAGCAGTTTTTAAATTAATATTGTAATGGGTGGCTTCTTAAAATTAAGTGATTATATAGAGATTTGTATACTAAAACTAAACAGTGACCAAATACTGATTTCAGTTTTATAGATTGTGACTCCTTTATAAATTTAGAGGAATGAAAGAAAAAACATAATAAACAGAACAGCCCCTTTGTAGTCTCTAACTTAAAACCTTTCTTTAAAGAAAAGCTAGCACATGAGTATTTGTATTCACATATGTTTTCTTCTTTCCAGACGATATGCGCACTCATTTGTGGACGTCCGATTGTAAAGCCAGAATATTTTACTGAATTTCTTAAAGCAGTTAAGTCCAATAAACAGCCTCCACAAATTGAAAGGTATATCTGTATTTTTTTTTAACCTATACCAGTTTATTAAAGGATATGATAAAGGATACTAACCAACAGCCAGATGAAGAAATACACAAGGCAAGGTATGGAGAAAGGGCAAGGAGCTTCATGCTCTCTCCAGGTACACTACTCTCCCTGCACTGCACCTCCATGTGTTCACCAACCTGGAAGCTCCTGTATCGTGTATTTTAAACATAATTAGACATACAGAATGCAGTAGGACTGATTTTATTTAGGTTGATTCCCTCTTTAATGACTGTTTCAGGATGTAGTGTTCAGTTTAACAGTTTTTTTGTTAGTATGTAAAAGAAGGGTTTGTTGGTGTTCTTTATCTCAGTAAAACAAATGTTACATATGTGTCAATATTTCTTTTAAAGATTTTATTTATTTGAGAAAGAGCACGAGGAGGGCTGGGCAGGAGAGGGAGAAGCAGACTCCTCACTGATCAGGGAGTCTGAGGTGGGGCTCGATCGCAGGACCACGAGATCATGACCTGCGCTGAAGGCAGATGCTTAACCGACTGATCCACCCAGGTGCCCCCATATGTGCCAATATTTAAACAAAAAATTGAAGGACAGCAAATGGCATGGAGGTACAATCAAAAGGCCACAACATGTTCCAGTGCTGGACATCATGGAAGCAGTACCCCTGGAATTGTGTTGTGCAGCAACCCTGTTCTGGAGTCACATAGTCCTGGGCCAGAATATTAACAGCACTAGTGGCCTTGGGAATGGAGCTTATTTCTTTTGATCATCAGTTACCTCCCTTGAAAAATGAGACTAATACCTGTCCTGTATTTAAGTATTTAGTAGTATTAGTTATTTTAACTAATAGAGTATACAAAGTCTGAGCGTTTTGCCTGGCACTGTTATAGGTGCTTGTTAAAAGAAATGCTGCCAATTGCAATAATACTGTGTAAGATTCACAGTAGCTTTATGATGATGGTGATGATGACTTTAGATGCTCTGCTAAATTTGTGAACCACCAGATTAAGGGATCTATCTGCTGTATAGTATTATGCTTTGAAGTGTAATATAAGCTGTGGTTGAGGAGGAAGATGTTTGGATTTTTATTTTCAGTGCATGGTTAAATTGCTGGTGACTATAAAATGGTGGGTGTTTTCGGTCAACTTAGCACAAGAACATGCTTGCTTAAAATGTCAATAGATTATAGTCTATATGGCATAATAGGCAAACTATTTATAAGCTTAATCTCTATAAGACAACTTTGAATATTTGAGTCTCTAGAAATCTAAAATGTTATGCAAGTTAAGAATTTTATTAGTAGTTGTAAAATATCATTAGCTGTCATAAATAATTTTGCCTAATGCTGGGCTTTTTTGGTTTTTTTTTGAGGTGGGGAGACTATGCCTAATAATATGTGTGTTTTTAAAAGTAACTGAAAGATTTTTCTTCTTGTTTGTTTGTTTTCCATTTGGGAGGTTTCTTGTATTTTATATTCGGCTTAACTAATAATGTAATATTTTTGGACTCTGGAAAGAGGTCCTCAGATTTTAAAATAGATGATTGTAAACCTTTTTTGAATCCTAGACTCCTGTGAGAACGTGAAAACACTGTTTTCACAATTTCCTCCAGACACTTCACTTTCATACTACCAACGTGCCTAGTATTTCAAAGGAATCACATCTTCCTCTAAAGCCTTTTCATGATACTCCTTATGGAAGCCAATAAGTACCATAAAGACGTTTGCTACAGATAATAAACGATTGTTAATCCTATATTACTTGGGAGTGGAATAGTCTGATAGGTTTTTACTACTGATGGTATGTATTTTATGGTCTTGAAAGTTTTAGGATTAGTCATTGATTTCTACTTACTGTTCAGAATCCACAGTATGTTTAACCTGGGTCTATTTTTGACTTTAGGTTCAGCATAATTTTTTCTGGCTTCAATGTATGACTGTATTAACTTAGATGACTATAATAAAACATCTCTGCTCTGAGATTGTTTAATAACTTCACTGTATTTAAAATAAAAGGGATATTTTTAACCTAACAAAAAGTATAGTTCTATTTAGTGCAGTTGTGTCTTCATCTTTGCACTGTTACCAAGAGACAGGGTAAGACAGAGTTTAAGCTTCATGTACCTGACATAATTTGTGAGATCTCATTTGCCTAAACTGTCATCAAAATACCAATGTAGATGAAGTCATTTGTAGAAGACTCCATTTAAAATATTTATTTTGATAATCAATACTTTATTAAAGGAAGCTCATCCCTTAAGGAGTTACCTTTTGCTTGAATTTTTAGTTTCATATCATGGGAGTGCTCTCTCAATTACTGTATTTCAAATAACAAGCATTGTTTTGGGGAAAATACTTTTGGGAGAAAGTTAACCTTTGCATTCATATACAGCTTGTCGAATGTGCCAAGAATGCAAGGCACTGACTGCCCTATATACCCAGGCCATTTCTCATGGTTTGCATTGAAAAGCCTTAAGGGAAGAGGTAGTGTCCCTTTCAGGACGAAGAACGGCCTGCTTATAGCTTGCTATGAAACTCATGGATTCTCAAGTTCATTGTTGCTCCCTCCTGTAACACAACCTACTGTATGTGCCTTTTTTTTTTTTTAAAGATTTTATTTATTTATTTGACAGAAACACAGCGAGAGAGGGAACAGAAGCAGAGGGAGTAGGAGAGGGAGAAGCAGGCTCCCCGCTGAGCAGGGAGCCCGATGCGGGGCTCGATCCCAGGACCCTGGGATCATGACCTGAGCCGAAGGCAGACGCTTAACGACCGAGCCACCCAGGCGCCCCTGTATGTGCTTTTATATCATCCTGACCGGACTTGGTCAGGGAGGAGAACTACCACAGATATGCAGAGGCTTGCTGCTCACTTTGTCTCTGATCCAGGAGTCTTGTGTCTTCTGCCCACATCCAAGAAACAGGAACAGGCTAACTTATTGGCTTGTAATCAAATATCAGACCCAAGAGACACATTAGTCTGAAGCAATCTTAGTTTATGGAGTTGACTGTATATAATCAATCAAAAGTCAAGGCAAAGAAATTTAACATATGGCAGAAATTTGTTCCTGACTATATAACCTTATATTTACAGGTTGTGAATGTCAATGTAACTTGGGCCTTTTAGAGATCACCAAAAGGAAGCAGTATAAGTTCTTGTACAAATAATGAACATATGCCTATAGGACTGACTAATGAAATAAACAGCTGTCCAGATGTTGGGCAAATGAATGTTGTGGCTTGAAATACAGTTTCCATGACAAGAATTATACATGAATTGAGAAAAATTGTGTATTTGAAAAATCTTGGGACAGAAATTAAGATGCTGTGCTTTGAATTAGATGAAATTTATTGAAGATGATACAAAGAATTTAAAAGTCATAAAATGTACAGGAAAAAATTAGTATTTCTAGATTAATATTTTATAGAATTTGTGAATTATATGTACTACTTACTATATAACATTATTTGTAGCTCTCAAAGTTTCTATATAAGTGTGCCAAAAAAATGTTTTAATTTTTTCATTATAGAAATTAGAAATTATATTTGGAGTAGCCTATTATTTAGGCAGTGTGCCTCTAATCTTGGTCTCTGCCAAGTTACTCTTTTCCATATTTTTACTAGCTATCAAATCACTGGAGCCTCAGAAATGCTTTAAAACTTCTAGAACATTATTGCTTCAGAAATACTGATTTTTAGTGATGTTTTCCTCACATTTATTAGTTTCTTGTTCTCATCTTTATACTATTAAAGAGAAAAAAGCTTGTTTAGGTATATAAAGTTCAAAGCATAGTGTATTATTTATCACTGTACTATAAATAATTTTATTTATCATACATATGCACATATATGTATATGTATACATGTGTACCTGACTCCAGCATTTGGTTAGATTCTTCACAATACAGTGATGTATTTTTTTGCAAAATCAGTCTTACTGAGTGGCTCAAATTTACCACTGTTTTTTTGTTTTTTTTTTTAAAGATTTTATTTATTTATTAGCAAGAGACAGCAAGAGAGGGAACACAAGCAGGGGGAGTGGGAGAGGGAGACGCAGGCTTCCCGCTGAGCAGGGAGCCTGATGCGGGACTCGATCCCAGGACCCTGGGATCATGACCTGAGCTGAAGGCAGATGCTTAATGACTGAGCCACCCAGGTGCCCCAATTTACCACTGTTTTTTTTTTTTTTTTTTAAAGATTTTATTTATTTATTTGACAGAGAGAGACACAGCGAGAGAGGGAACACAAGCAGGGGGAGTGGGAGAGGGAGAAGCAGGCTTCCCGCGGAGCGGGGAGCCCGATGCGGCACTCGATCCCGGGACTCCAGGATCATGACCTGAGCCGAAGGCAGTCGCTTAACCGACTGAGCCACTCAGGCGCCCCTACCACTGTTTTTAAAAGAAAACCAAAACATATTTTTTCAGTCCCAGAATTTTAAAGCTCAGATCTGTATATTGAGGGAATGAAGGGATGTTTATAATTTTGTCTGCTTTTATTAGATGCATTTTTAATTTATATTTTGTACTATCAGTTTATTACCAAATATTTTTTTTTTTTTTTAAAGATTTTATTTGACAGAGACACAGTGAGAGAGGGAACACAAGCAGGGGGAGTGGGAGAGGGAGAAGCAGGCTTCCCGCGGAGCAGGGAGCCCGATGCGGGGCTCGATCCCAGGACCCTGGGATCATGACCTGAGCCGAAGGCAGACGCTTAACGACTGAGCCACCCAGGCGCCCCTATTACCAAATATTTCTGAATGCCTACCATGAATTAGGCAAGATAGACCTGAGGATATAGTGATGAGCCAAAAAAATTACAGTTTCTGCCCTCATTGCGCTTGGTAGAAGAGCCAAACATTAAAAATCACACACATTAAAATTAGAACTCTGGTAGTGCCATCGAGAAAAGGGTGTATCAGGCACCTGTCTTTAGGAACCTGATTCAAGGTTTAACAAATGTTTACTCTTCATTGAACTCAACTATAATTAACTGCTCTCTGGGGACAGT